CTAATCCTACCTGAAGTCAAAAATTAGTACATTTATAGCAAACAGTATTGTATCAAATTCTAACACAAAAATAATTGTCAGAAAACTTTTTCCCCTCACCTAGAATGGGTTTCTAAACACCAGTCTTCAAAAATGCAGATATATATCTAATCCGAGCATTATAAATCCTAACTTTGTATCAAATAATCCTAGTTATACTAATCAGCAAAATGAGAAATTTGTAAGTTACAGAAGAAACTAAATCTGTATGGCAAGTTGAGTTAAACACAAAACCATCTGAAATACAGCAAAGAACTTTTGATAATGGTATTCTGAGTTTTGACAAAAATTAGGTATTATTTGAGCTTTTCTATTTGGACAATTTTGCATTTTTACTTATAACAATATCCAAATACTTATTTTCCTCATTATCTTTCATAACCTAAAAAGATCTAAGCAGCTTGATATCCATAAAGTTAGCAATTCAAAGGCAGAAAACAGCTACACGCTCAGAATTGTGAGGACACTAAAGCTATGGGATCACCTTTGCTAAGTTGTTCTGAATACGGTACTATCTTCTAATTTTGTATTTCTACTTACTCAAAGTCTGCCCAATTACCATGATTACAGATTTTAATCTCTTCAGATTACTGCATGCATTAATATTCAAGATGACACTGAAAGCAGAAAACCACCACTTCCAAAATATGCAAGTAACAGTTCACAAGGTATCTAACACCGAAAGCTGCATTATCTTCATCCACAGTTTCCATCTTTGCCTTATACGCGTTTTCCTTTAACTAGGGAAGTCTTATTAGATTATGACCAGCTTATTAGTAAAAAAAAAAAACAAAAAACCAAAAACAAACAAAACAGCCAGCAGAAGGACTACTACTTGGTGAATTCCATCATAAGAAGGCGGGGGGATAGAAAGATAAAAAAGCATTCTGCCGTCTAGGTACGGTATTTTATTTCACGGAAGTCAAAAAAAAATGGTTGTCATCTACATTGCTTTGAGTGCGCTCTGGATAGCATTCCAGGGTGGGACAGACCACAACTCGCTGTAGACTGTCATGCTAACTAGACTTCTATTTTTGTGCCATAAAGAAAATATTCAGGTGGACAAACACCTGCATTCCTTTTGGATGCTCCTAAAATATCAAGTGGGGCTCTAAAACATTTCAAACACAACGTAACTGAAGAAAATCAGTTCTCCCCAAATCAAAAGTACATTAAGCAAAATGCTTTATGCACATGTTCCTTTTTGCACAACAAAAAGCCCAGACTTTTCTGTAGCAGCAAAAGCTTCAAAGACTTGTGTGTATTGATGTACCAACCAAAATTACTAAATTAAAGTCCCTACCACATTAGTTTAAGAGATTTTTCTCTTATTTCTCTCAAGTAAAACTGACTGTTATATCATGCAGAGAAAAATGACAACATACCCACAAAGAGGATTACCATTGCTACACAGTTAATGAACCACTGAGATTGTATTAGCTTTGTGCTGGAAAACTGAGACTGTATGTTATACTGATAAAGAAGTTAAATGAATGTGGTCATGACAGTGATATTCACTGCAATATCACTACTTTAAAATTCCCTTCAGTTTATTGGTTATTCTGTATCTCTGACCTCAATCCCCACCTCAATTCCCTGCGTAATACCTCTACAGAATGAAATAAAGGCATTTTCTCCCTGCAGTGTTTTGAGGAACACGGGAAGTGAAGCAATGAGAAATGCGAGAACTGCATGCACATCTCCGATAGACATGCATCATGCACAAGGCAAAAAAACAACAGTGAAAATGCATGAGGAGATGGGAAGAAATCTGAAGTTGTACTGTACCACGCTTTATCACAGAAGTAATGGACTAACTTCTCAACTCCTTGCCAATGGCATAATGGGAAAGCAGAGACAAGAAAAAGACAAGGACACTGATGTCAGAGGACCAAGACAGAACAATGAGTAATTGCCATGACAGAACCGCAACTTTTCACCATTTAAACTGCAATTGCCATGTACCCCATTGGTTTTTAACCCACCTTCCAGAAACAAAGGTAGCAATAGTGTTTAAGTAATGCAGCACACATATAGCAAGACCTGCACAGAATACTTTTGCTCTTGTAACTTGAAGTCTTTCAAAACAGTTAACCTCTTACACTTCAAATATTGTTTAGAGCTGTAACTAGAATTTGTGTGTATGATTACAACTGTATACATGAAAAATATTTGCACCCATGCACATATATTTTAGGTATCTAACAATGAACAACAATGTCATAAGACACACTGCATTACATATGTTGACCACATTGTCCATACTGTTTTATAACCTATCCTCCTAGCAACTTGCACACAAGTTTGAAGAGACTCCAAACCACCCTGGTTTCTTTCTGAAGGGGGGCGGGGGGAAGGGACACAAACTATGCTACGTAAGTTTTTCATTTTTTAATCAGTTCTGACATCCTTTCTCTCACTGCCTTGGTACAGGACAAGCTGTCTTTGTACAGGCCTTCGTTTGAAGACACAGCCTTGCTGAAAGGCTAGAGTGGAAAGCTCTCATTTTCTACCTCTGGAAAACAGCACGATTTCACACCTTAAATCTGTAGAATTTGCCAATACCTTTATTCTGGAATTTTTTTTTTTTTTTTTCCTCTTTTTTTAGCTAGCTATATTGTAGTCTTATTTCAACATTACAAAATAGGATTCCACAGTATGGAGCATGACTTCAAATAATGATACAAAACAACCCTACTTTTTTTTTTTAAACCACCATTCACCACACCATGGGGATAGTAAAATAATTCGTAATATGGCATAGCATTATTTTTTTTGGCATAGCCTATATAGAAGCCCCAACTTAAAGCAATATATTGTCTTTCTCAAAGAAAAAAATACTGGAAGTAATATATCCTACGTCATTGAAGGCATTTAATCCATAAGTACAGATACACGTGCAACAAGCAGACATATATGACCACATGTAAAATTCAGTTTTGTTTGCAAATGTATACTTAGACACAAAAGAACATTTCTCTTGTCCAATCTGCAACCACCCAACCTGGGAGAAGGGAGGTTTTCTTAAGAGACATTTATTGATATACCTGAACACTCATTTCTCAGAGCAAAAATAAATACATATAAAGGACAGTAATGTAATGATTCCAGGACATTTTTAATAACTTGTCACTCTCTTAACATGAGTCACAGAACTTCCAAGATAATATTCTGAAGCAACTTTGTTCTGCTAACACCAGCTCTCTGTAAACTCTACAAAGAACCTGTTTAAACTCTACAAACACCCTTGTTTAAAAAATGCCTGAAAAAGCAAAGCCTGGACCTGACTTACAGTCAATGTGCCTACAGCAGCTTTCTTGCCAATGATAAAAAGTTATATGTCACCTGCCAGAATTACTTACATACAAGAAGTCTAAATACTTTTTCCATGAAGTGCACAGTAAGCAGAGATGTGAACAACTGCAATGCTTGAGTAACAAAACAGTTTCCATTTGCACTACTGTGTGGAGAAGCACCTGGGGCTGGGGGCCTAGAGGAAGTGCTGTAACACTCTTATTACAAGGACATAATTGGTTCATCGACAATGTGTAAACACTGTTTCTAGAGTTGCATCATTAAAGCTTCGAAACACAAGTGTTGTGTAAAAATTTTTAAGCAATTTTGCTATGTCATCGAATTATATATCTTATAACCAGGAGAAAAATAAAGGACCATTATGTAAGAGTTGAGTTCAGGACGCAAATGGAAGTTACGGTAATAAAAAAATATAATTCTATTCATAAAATGACAAAAATCAATTTGCTATTATGAAAGTGTTTATGATATACAAAATGCTGAATTGTTTCCAAGGCTGTTGAAACAACATGAAGTTAGTAAGTGTGAAAGTATTAAAAATTAATTCTCATTAAAAGTGCAAAACATACATCCAATTCTGAAATGTGTTAACCAAGTGCAGTGATATGGTTAAGTTCATAAGGCAAGTTAAGCTGCAGGTATGCTAACATTTGTAACTGGTGCTAACAGAGAAGAACTGTAAGCATATGACAGTATTATAATATTACATAGCAGGGATATATTACCTGTCCTGTACAGCAGAAGTATAATTATTTTACAGTACATAAACAACTAAATATGAGCAGTTTAGATTATGAGTCTAAATCTGTACAGTGCTTTAAGTGATCTGCGTATCCTCCAGCTATCACCAACACAGTCAAGAGACCTGCAGCATTCACAAGCGCAGATGATATTTTAGGTTCAGGATCCAGAAGTTAGAGAAAAAAATGCTTGAATTCCAAGATCTTCAGACAGAAAACACAGCCAAACAAAAACAGACTACTTCGTGTTCGCATCATCTTCTCTATATTATTGCAAAAAGAACACTAACAGTGACTTTAAGGCTGTTTTCCTATTCTTGGTGGTGATAACCAGCTCACCACTTGCCTCGAAACCCCACATCTGGCATTCCATACTAGCTAAAAAACCAGCAGACCTAAAACCACTGAAACAAGGGAAGAGGTAACATGGGGAAAGAAGGACGCTAGTGATAATTCCAGTAATGTTCTAATTTATGGGATTCTTCACACATTGATAAACCACTGCTTTTGCAAGAGCGTCAGTAAAAATGTCCAAGAAATCTCCTAATTTATACTGTATTCTTCTCAGGATTTATCTTTTGATCAAACCTAAGACTTCAAGAAAAAGGCTCAGAACTCTCAGTTATAGGAAACATTTCTTTTCCCAAGCAGTAGGTTAATTAGAGTTTAGGTTAATTAGTCAAGGGCCAGTTTTCATTGACTTTATTTCTTTAACTAATAACTTACAGAATTTAACATATAAGATGTATACTAAAAAAAAAAATCCAGCCTGCTTTGGAGTTTCACTACGGCATCCCTGAATAAGGACCTGCTGCCACTACTGGAGGAATGAGGTGGGGGCTCAAAGAACTGGCAAGAGATTAGCAAAGTTTTCTTCTTCAGCCAAGCAGTCAATGTGAATGATGTGACACCAGAGGCACACATCCGGCAGCTTAGACACCATCGTCCCAGTCTGACTCTACCATCAGTTAGCCTCCAAAAATGTGACATTTATATGCTCCTCAGGTCTAAAACTGAACTTTTTAAACTCAGATTCTCTGCTGACAGGACAGCAAAATAGCCAGGCTGTGCTACCACTGGCCCTCTACCCAGAAACAGAAGATGTGATGATCAGCTTTAGGGGTTCGATGTTCATTACACACACACAGCGTCCCACATCAAACACCAGAGAAAAATGAAGCACATCCCTCCATTGCATAGAGAAAAGCCTATGAAACAGGCTGTGCATTCCTGATGAGTATTTTAAATGAACATTGTCACAGAAATGTCAAGAGAGTATTTGAAACAAAATACTTCACAAGATTTTTTTTTTTCCTCTTGTAATTGAAACAAATTAGGATTATTGCAATCTCAAATATATGTAAGCTTAGTTTTTCCAAGGTGCAGCTTACTCTTTAGACCTCCATTGTCCCTGGAAATCTTACTTTGTTTCCACAATTTTACTTTTTGCTTTATTTCTTGTCCAAATACACTCTTGGGCTTTGCTAGGCAGTCAAACACACTGTAATTCCCAAATTACAGTACTTTTAAAAAATATAACTTTAGCTTTATGAACTAGTTATATTTCTTTGAACAATTATCTGTTTATAATGCAATACCAAAGCACAAAATAAGACTTACCATTTCTCTATGTCTACGTAAGCATACAGTTTTAAAACCAGCAATTGTCTTTTGTTTTGCAGATCCAAGCCAAGAGAACAAATGCATCTTATATCAGCCCACATTGTAGCTAGCACAAAGAATGTTAATAAATCATGCAAGCTTTCCAACAGCCACTTCAATGTATTAGAAGCCTTTTTACAACAAATACCGAGGTGGGAGGGGAAAAAAAAAATTGGTTTTAGGGAAGCCATTCTGACAAGTTAAGAAAACTTCTTGTGAGAGGCACCGAAAACAACACTTTCACCACCATTTTTATGTACAACCACAACATATTTATGTAAATACATCCACATATGCATGCATGCAGACTCATGAGCAACCGGAACATGTACACAAACAGGACAGTACATTACAGCCATGAAAACAAAAGGGAAAATGCAGCAAGCAAAATTTATGTTAAGACAAGACTGGAAACAAAGGCCTCTACTCGGGATTGCCTGAAGAACCGCTGAAGTAGATCAGCATTTAATAACTGTTATAAAGCTATAAGTTGTAGCTGCTATACACTGGCGGAAGGAAGCGTTTTGGTTAGCCGTAGACTATTGTGTATGCCTGTAAATCTGCCTGAGAAAGGAGGATACTACGAGATGAACAGTGCGTGCAAAGGGGAAGCTTCTACTGGAACACGGTGAGGGAGATGAGTGAGAGGTACAGACTCACTCTGTCTGCGGTGCGGTGGAACAGTCCGAGGGATGCCCTGGAATGAGCCCTGCCAGGGAGAGAAGGAGGGAGCAGAATACCCACCCTGTGCAGAAAGAGAGAGGGGGAGAAGTATAATAAAAAAAGAGAACAGGGAAAAACAAGACACCAAAAAGCCACACCATTCTTCTTCCCCCAGAAAGGTATCAACAACATTATGGTGTCCTAAACTAGTCCGAAATCTTACAAAATACCTCCATTCTTACTCAATATATAGGCACACATTTCTATGAAAGATGTTTTTAATGAAAAAGTATAGGAGCCGAGATTTTCAAGTTAAAAGTACATGCTAAGAACTTTTAGTTTACAGCTTTCCAAGATGTTTAAAAATTCCTCACCAAGCACTAAGTTGCTTAATACTGATCTACTGGAAAACCAGTCAGGTTTAGCTTACAACAAAAAACTTCTAATGCATAGAAACAGATTTTCTAGCAAATTCTAGTGCTTTAGAGTCCATTTCACTCACATTTTGATAGTATTAGTAAATGTGAAAGTGGAGAGGTGACAAATAATGATTTTCCTTGCACTTTGCACTTGGAGCTCGAGCCTTCCGTTACAAGATCAGAGAACTGTGCATGTCAATGCCATGCAGGGTTTGCCTGTCAGATGTTTCAGATCACCACAGAAGTGACACATTGTGGTTGCTGCATTCTCAAGACAAGAGAGTAATTATATGCAGTCTATCATTTTCTACATACCCTTATCTTTAAAAGAAATCTATCCAAGCTGGAACCACTCTCTTAAATCACATAATCTTGACTTCGTATTTCAGCAAGACAGGTTTAAGTCTTTATAACCCCTTTACTGTTTAGCAGCTGAAAGCTTCTGCTGTCACTGCCTCCTTGCTCCCAGCAACCAGCAGATATCAACAGCAACCAGTTGTAGCTACTCTTTCAGACAGCAGGCATAAGGTATCTGAACGAACATCTCTATCAAAGCAAACAGACACACAGTTTGCCCCTCCTCTCTAGTTTCTGGGCTGGCATACCTGCTGCAGATCATGCTGCCAGGGCCGGAAAAACAATAAAGTAGTATTTTATTTCCACGCTTCTACTTTAAAAGAATGTTAAGCATCACATTATTTCTATAAAGAAATATTCTGCATTTATTTATCCTAGCAGAATTTCAAACACTTCCCTGACCTTCCAGTCATCCTAATCTAGGTAGATTTTATCCATCACTACTCGAAGTTTCAGTACTGCTGAGATGTAATTTAACACATGCATTCAGTCAAGTCCTAGAATTTGCTAGCCAAAGCATTTTTAAACTAGAACAGGAAATAAAGAAAAATCTGACAAGACTTCTTTATTCTTCTTCAGAAGCTGAGAAAAAACAATTATTGGAGCAAAATCCAAGGAAAAAAAATGAAGGAAACTCTTTAATTATCTCTAGATGGAGATATCGATTACCTAACATATTCTTACAGTCCTCCATTAGTAGCCATTAACATTAACACAACTTATAGACTGCTGCATGAAAGAACCACATTACTAGCCTCAGTCAAGCAATGCGACAAAATACTATAATATGTTGCATCAGCTAAGTGGTATGAAATACAGAATTTTCCTGGGAATAAGATGAATCAATCAATGACTGATGAGACATCAACAAAAGCTTTAGATATTCACAGTGCTGTACAAAAGAAAACTTCATTTTTCACGCTTGTTCACATTTCATCCTAAATTGTGTCATGGTAGTGGAACAATAACAACAAAAAATTCTTTCCATTCTCTAAGCATAACTGAATCTCCAGAAAGTAAAAAGCACACTATCATCAAGCATAGGTCTCATCTTGCAGAGACTTGTTTGAGTTGGCAATGGGCTTTTTCCAGATGTTTCTGAAATTTTTAATGCATTAAATTAAGAACGGAAGTGAGAATTTTAATTCTTCTCTCTAAAAAGAGATTAAGACAAGTACAAGCCAGCTGAGCTTACATAACAGTTATGATACTATTGTACAAGCAAAGAAATATTTAGATGTCTTGATACATTCCAGTAAGTTTTAACCATCCGTATTAGCACTTCACAGCATAGCACTAAGTACATTCTTGTCAATAATACTTCATGGTATTTAATCATTACTCTAACTGGAAAAGTAAATGAAGGAAGTGCAAGTAACTTCCTTCAGTGCCTTGCCTGCTAAACTGATCTGCTCTCCAGGCAAGGTGCAGCCCCCTTCTCCCAAATGCTGGAGAACACACTATAATCTGAGAAGCAGCAGAACTAGCTCTTCTTCTGGCAGTAGTCTTGAGAGTTTACACTGCTCCACACACACACAAATAAATGTCAGATTTCTTATTTATAAAAAAATAACAGCATTGTTTAATTGTACATCAAATCAGGTAATTAAAATCACCATCAACTGAACCAAGTAAGGACCAGGACATACAGCACTGGGAATTTATTAAGATGGATATTATAAATTACACTGATTTTACAAATGATAAAGGTTGTACCAATCCCATAGATACAGCACATTAAGAGATAAGTATCGGCAAATAAGACTGGGTAATGAAAAGATGACTTTTCTTTTAATAGTATTTTAGAAAACTCCAGCGAATTTACAAAGCCTTCTCCTTTGAACAGCAACTCACATCCATCCCCTTCTATTAATCAAACGTATGCTGAGAATCCCAAGAAATCCAAAGAACAGGAAAAAAAACCACACACTAATAAGCACGTCTCCTCAGATTACAGTACATGTTCAAAATACACAGAAAATGCAGTAGTTTCCTGCTACATATAGAGAAAAACCTGAATCACGTTTTATGCTTGATTATTAAAAAACAATCTATAAAAGTCATAAGCAAGCAATGACAGAACTGAAAGATGAGAACACGACTTACCTCAGCTTCTATTAAAACAACACATTTAATGGGATTCTTGAACCATTCTGTGGGTTCTCAAGCATAATCTGATACAAATCTTCCCACTTGCACTTTAATATTAGACACTCACAACAGTTCCTTCCCACAGAATTACGCGCATCCAGCCACTAAACTTAAATCCCATTCCTCTCATTTCCCAGATACTGGAATTGTGAAACAGCAAAAGCATCCCCCAGAGAAAACCAATTCAGAGCTTTAAACAACACGTAAAACAGGAGACTCAGAGGTGGAAAAATATGAGCTGCTGAAATAAATCAGCCTATGAACCAGAACAAAGTGATGAATGTTCTTCAGAGGTCCTGATGAATTGTGTAATTTCTGCTAAACACTTTATGGAGTTCTGACCCTAACTGCACTGGAAAACTTGGTCTTTTGTGGTGGGTTTTTTGTTTGGGTTTTTTTTTTTTTTGAAAGGCTACTATGAAGATATTGAGGCCAGAGTTTTTCATTGCTATGAAGAGACCTGAACCTTAGCATAAGCAATCACATGAACGAAAGCAATTGCTTCTGCCAGAAAAGGACAAGAGAAATATTTCTAAGCTATTGCTGTTTAGTAATTTTAGACCTACAGCCAAATATTCCAGCTCTTTTCCCAAGGATACACCAATACCCAAAACTGCTACTGCTTTAAACAGCCTTTTCTGCCGCTGAAACACAGATACAAGAAAGAAGTGTTTTTATCTGTACAGCTAGAGCCTTTGAGCACTTCCAAGAGGAGATTATTTTTGCTGCATCTCACCTAGCACTGTCAGTTGTCTCAAACTTCTATCTCCACATCATGAACAAACCTAGAACAACATACTTCAAGTATCAATGCAAACAAAATGCTTTTGCAGCACACTCTTCTTGCTAGCCTAGCATCCAGAAAGAGATTAGGAATGAGCAGTTCTGACATGCAGTAGTCTTTTTTAAAGTATTCAGATCAAAAAAAAAAAAAAGAAACCAGTCTTCTGTGCTGCTTTACACTAAGCCAACAAGAATTGCCTGTGAAAGATTTAAAGGACCTCTTTCGTGCATGCACCTACATGTTATGCACTGTCACTGTAACAGAGCAAGAAGCGTGCACAACACGACTGTCTAATCCAGCCATGATTCTTTCTCTTTCTCTCATGATTCTTTCTAACGGATCAGCAAGTGAACAGCAGAGTACCGGACAACAAGAGAAACTTAGGTTGAATGTGAAGATAAACACTAATATTGCCACCAGGCTTCAAAATCTGGAAGTTTAAGTTCATAGTTGCAGAGTCAAAGCATATAGAAACTCCAAGGCTAAGGTGGAAGGAGATACTCGGACACAACAGTACACAAATACAGCCAAAGTATTATGAAGGTTCACCAAAACAACTGATGTGAAAGGCTTTGGAATGAAAAACTGGAACAATACTCAAATGGAAGGCAAAGAGTACATCTCACAGCAGAAGTACAGAAAAGATGTAGCAAAGAACAAGAATATGCATGCTCCCAGGCAAAATGAGATTTTTGTTGTCATTCCATCAGAGACAGGAAGGAATTTTTATATAAATCTAGGAAGCAAAACATTCTCATCACTGTGTACTCTTCTGAGACCAAGGAGAAAAATCAGCTTTTACTGTACACCATCTACGGTTACAGTGCATGGAAAAGCACCCATGAACTCGAAGGAGTTTGTTATGCTAAGGAAGTGGACCGCAGGGGCCAGAGTCTCACAGACATCCTCACCCATATTCAGGCTTTGGAGTTTGCTGGCTTGTCTTACTTCTCAGCATCTGCAAACAACTTTTCCAGTTTGAGAATACAAATAATATCAACATAAGTTGACATCTAACCCCTTTACCTTCAAAATCTTTAAAAAAAGTCAGTATTTAGTATTACAGAAACAGTGCTACAAAGCCTACAAGACAATTGTGGCTATGTATGCTCACATTTTTCTTCTTTGTAAGCTTTGTCCACCAACATTAATTTCTTGAGGCAATTTTGACATTCAATACCTTCTTCCAGATTTTGGTTTTGTTGCTTTTTTTTCCATTACAGAGAAATGATAGGCATAAATTAAATAGTAAGGAATTTAGTATTAGAGATCTATGAGAAATCCTTCTGGAAATGTCATGGTCTACTCTCTCAGTTAATAGTTGTACAAGGCTTCATCCTGAGGATGGCTAACCAAAAATTACATTTCCTTCTAAGTTATCACTGTCTGCACAAACAGTCAGAAATCATATAATGTAGTTGTGAGCATACTGTCAGAACACGAGGCCCAATTTTCAAAACATTTCTTTTCAGCCACTAGGTTTTATTACCTGGAGTACTAAGCTCCAAGGACTTACCTAAAGCTACATAGATTCCATTGATGGACTTATCTACCTTTAAACAGGAAAAAAAAACCTTATAAGTACTTTCAAAAACTATGTAGTCTCTAAAGAGACTATTCCCAGACAACTTTATAATCACATCAGGATGAGCCGTTTTCTAAAAATATCCACTGGAACAGGCTGCCCCGGGAGGCGGTGGGGTCTCTTTCTCTGGAGATATTCACGCCCCCCCTGGACAAGATCCTGTGCAGCCTGCTGTAGGTGACCCTGCTTCGGCAGGGGGTTGGACTAGATGACCCACAGAGGTCCCTTCCAACCCCTACTATTCTGTGATTCTGTAATATGGCTTTCTAAAAAGAACACGCTTAATGACATTCACTTGCCTATTTACTGGGAGAACCATGAAATGATCAGAAATACTAGGTATTTCAAATGGACAGTAAACTGCAATAAATTACCGCAATTCACATGGTCTCCAATTCCTAACAAATCTTTTAATAGCAGATTTCCACTATCACTACTTCCTAGTTTATCCTACCATCTACTCTTTATGAAACACTACATTAACAATCTATGTTAAGCATGTTTCTGGAAGCATTTCTTGAAACGGTGAATTACTGTAAGCGTGTTCCTAGACTGTTCTGTATGCTTCAGGAATCAACACATAGCATCAATGCTGCTAGAATTTGTAAACTGTCAGAATAATCCTGAAAGTTATTGTAATCTAACTGAAGTAACTTCTTGATATTCACCATCATTTTAAGTGACTGACAAGTCAACATTTACAGGAAAAAATGAAATAGTTGAAGTATTCATCAGCTTTGATAAATACTAACAAGCTTGAAGAAGCAAAGGACTTCCATGCTTCAAAGGACTTGTACTCTCGCTGCCTAGATTTCTACTACAATTTGTTTTTTAAAAAATGTAGCCTGTATAAAAACTTCATCATTTCATAAACATTGACTAGATTTCATGATTCGTACCACATTTAGGACCAATAAATCTGATTTCTCCCAGCCTGCACTCTCAGTTCAAGACCATTAAACCGAACAGAAATGTTAATAAAGCAGAACAATTGTTTTCTTTAAGACTTTTTAAAGTGAAAATACATAGTACTCAGGTGTCTCCTGCTGTTTCCATTTACCTTACTCGTGCCACAAGAAAATAGAGCCAGTTGTCTCCCCCTTCTATTCCAAGTGACAGTTTATGTCATGGGGTTCCAGGTCAACAATGATGTCATGACAAGGCTTTTTCTACTTTTGTACTTCTACTAAGCCAAGCAAGAAAGCCTACAAACGCATGTTAGCAGAGAAACTGTTAAACCAGAAAGCTGAGGTCTGATCACTAGAACAGAAACTCAGCAAGACTATAGTCCTCCTTTAAGAAATCTGACTTTAAGGAGCTCGTATCAATTTCTGTTTACTTACAGAAAGCCTTCACATCACTTGCAAATATGCAAAGGAGAAAACATTCAAAAAAGCCTCCTGCACAACACTGTTCAGCTATCATTTACAAATACAAGTTCCTGAAAAACAGTGTATTCTGAAAGATTTTCAATACGTCACGAATTTTCCCAATTCCTTTATCAATTTTCATGAAATACTTTACATGTAAAGATAAAAATATTGAGAAGTTTATGATGCACTTCTAATTAGCATATGCCTACACATATATGTATGTGTATCATATGTATATGTATACATGTACCCACACACACCCACCCACCCAACCATGAATATAGCAGAGGTCCTTTTTTGGGGGGTGGTTTTGGCAGGTTTTTTTATTGGTTTTTTTTTTTTTAAACTATATTGTCCCTTAACCCAAATTTCCTCATGATAAAAAAAAAGTCTTTTTGAACAAAACTACTGAATAACTTAAAAGAAATATACTTCAACCTGACCAAAACACACAACCGGGCTAAATGACTACTTATACCTGAGATATCAATTCACTTTCCCCATCTCCTCCAATATATTTGTCTTATCAATTAATACCACAGGTTGCTCAAACTAAAACTTCTGTAGTTAGCAACTAACTTTCAACAGTTCACGTGGAAAATCATAGGGAAAAAGGAACAACAATAGGCACTAATCCAGTAATAGAATCAATGCAGAAAAACATGAAATGAACATCACAGATAGTAAATTAAAACTTGGGAAACACAAACAATGCAAGAGCTCAAAAGCTACAAAGTAACAGGAAAAGAGAAACAAATGGGATATACAAAGTCATTACACATACCTGCTGGAACAGAGGTGTCCCAGAAAAGTAAAGATGCTTAAGGTTACGAACTTTCTACACTGGGTTCTTATCACACAGAAGACAGTTGGAAAGCATGGCCTCAACAGGGTAAAGCTGTTTGCTAGTAGCTGGTGAACATACAGCATGGTGATATTTTTATCCTAGCTCCATATATTTGAAAGAGTAATTTTAGAAGGATGGCAGGGCTGATCCTACATCAAGTAACTTCAGGCAGGGTGAAAACAACAAAAAAAAAGAACTCTCTCAGGATTCTTCAGCTAGACAAGTAGCTTCAAGATCCATATAGTCTTTGCTGATGACTGACAACAGCCTTGCTCATCTTTCAAAGATAATTCCTTATTATTATATAATATCAAATGTGTTGTTCCTCCCCCATCTCACATATTCTATTAGCGTTCCATGAAGAATGTAATGTTTTTATAATGGAAGCAAATATGATCCATGCGACAACATATGGGAATGAAGATGTCCTTTGTCAAAGTGGTTTTCACCCAATAACTTTCTACGAGTCAAGCTCTTTAAATAAATGATTAATAAAAAAGATTAACTTTTGTTTTTACATTTATGGACTGAAACTTAGAATACACTATTGCTTTTTTTCAACAACCATGAGCGCAGCAACAATGAAGCTTTAACCAGGAAAAAAACCCACAGATACCTAGGACTTCAAAATCAGGATATAAGACAATATTTTATGTATGATTAGATATACAGCTTGGGCTGACTGTAACGAAGAGACTTCTAAAGTTTAATTACTTATTTTATAATAAATGTTTGTAATAAATGTTTAAATAAAAGGGTTGTAAAAGAATGCAACGGATGCATAGCAGGAAGGATACCACCCTCACGTACAGCACAGTATCTCTTAAACAAGGGCAACTTGTGTGACAGCAAACATAACAGAACTGGGGACGAACTGCAGCAAGTCACACCCGAGAAGGAATGGCACATTTTACTCACAGAACTTCTCCTCCAGGAGGTTTGCGTAAATTTATCAGCATACATGCATGGTGTCCCAGTAGGTTTTTGGCTGTCTTTCTGGCAGTTACATGTAGTGGCCTTAATCATCCCAAAAAAGTGAAAGAGAAAAGAAACTTTGTTAGAAAATAAGTAAGATGCTTGGAAAGCACAGTCAAGGCCCAGTGTTCAAACCTCACGCACTGCGTGGCAGTATAGCACTAAACGATTAAGCCGTAGAAACTAGTATTTCCAGCACTGCACAACTGCTTCTTTTCTCAAAGCATATTAGAAATAATTAAGAATACATGTTGACTTTTGGAAAGGATTTTCGATGCACTTGAATTTCTGAAGCACCACATTCTTTAAGTCACCTTCCAATAATTACAAGTATAGTTTTACCCATCTTTACAGCAGAGTTCCTTAGCTGCAGCAAAGTTTTTCGTTACTACAGTGATTAGGTATATGACCTACCATGGAAGGAGAGATTTCCTTGAAGAAATCTTTGACGGCTGACGGTGAGTGAGGCTAAGCACACTGAAAAATCAACACTTACTGCAAAATATTAATAGATAAAAGAATTTGCTTTGGAATGCTGTGATCTGGAATTCTGCTGTTTAAGCAGCAGAGCAGAAAGCCAAATCTAACCACTCATTTTTGTTTTAGAGGGAATGGTCACATGCTAGACATGGAGAGGATGAAGACCACAGACCAGTGTCAGTACACGTATGTACAGAAGCACAGGCTAAACATTTCATTAGAGATTACAGTCTTACAAGACTATCTCCAGCAATGATAAATGAATACAGTGTGCACTTTTTGGCATCTCATCTACCCTATCTTTAAGAACTTGCAGTGGCTTGAAAATGTAGTTATTTTACAAGAACTGTCACAACAGGTGAGTTTACCAGAATCAAAATGCAGAGATATGCATGGCAAAATGCAAAGTTAACTTAGAACAAGCGCAAAAAGTAAAAAGGCATACATTACTTCTGCTTGAGAACTTCTGTGCCTGTCTGAACCTCATTTATGATAGAAGTGCCTCAACTTATTTATCTGGCCAATTTAATCTTAGTATTCAACATGCTTTTGTTTCATTTGGGGTTTTTTGGTTTTTGTCTTTTTTTTTTTTTTTTTAAATAAATTTTGAATATTCCCTTGCTCAGCTTTAAATTCTATGGTGGAATTCTTTACCCTACTGTCCATTTAATACAGGAGAGGATGAAAAAATAACAAAAAAACTTCAAGCAGAATGATAAGCCCAATACATATTAATTATTACAATACTTTAAGCATAAAGTGCCCTATCTTTACTCATCATTATTTCTGAACAGCTTCTAGGATTTTATGTTCAAAGTGTTTGTTTTGGAAATGAAATACATTTAACAATCATATAAACTCCCTTGCTTAGTGCCACACATACAAATCACATCTGGCCTACAGAATTAAAGATCCCAGGTGTACAGCTGCAAACACATGAAAGTGTAGTAAAAAAATTAAAACATCTAGCCCTCTCAAAGCCTTCATAAGAATTACCCACTGAAGTTACACTCTGCAGTGCATATTTGGGATTTTCTAAACATCTCACATTATACTTACAAGTTGATGCTCTAATTGGTTGATGGTTTCATCCTTTTTCTTCAGTTCGTCTTTAAGCTGCCTGATCTCATTCAGCAGATCGTCCACCTGCAACAGAACAGTGGGCAGTAAGAGGTTTTCTATAATGGCTACACAATCTAAATCAACCCCTCTACAGAACATTACATCAGATGTTCATGGAGGACTGGCAGTAGTTGTAGCACATGCTTTTCTCCTCTTATTCAGATGGTGAGATGGGCTGTAGGTGTACAACCTAGAGTGAAGAAACTTAACTAGAAGTCTCTAACAGACAGAGTTCAGCTGATCCACTAAATTTTCAGGATATATAATAGGCTGCATTTTTGAAGCAGTAATTCATCTGTTCTACAAGCAACTGCCAACATGTAGATGACCATCCTTAGCAATAAAATCCTACCACTACTCCTCTTTATCCAACAACAAAAAGTACTGAAGCTTAAAGGTTAAAGAAATGCTATTTAAAAATCATTAACATAGAAACAAGAAAAAAAATTGTTTAGAAACATAAGCATAACTAGATGTACTGAATGCAAACAGCACAATTGATTTGGAGACATCTACTCTGCCCTCCATCCCTCTGCTCCACTATGGTGAGAGCCCACCTGGAGTCCTGCAACCCAGGTCTGGAGCCCTCAGCACAGGAAAGACATGGACCTGTTGGAGCGGGGCCAGAGACCAAAAAATGGTCTGAGGGCTGGAACAGCTCTCCTATGAGGAAAGGTTGACAGAGTTGGGGCTGTTCAGCCTAGAGAAGAGAAGGTTGCAGGGAAACCTTATAGCAGCCCTCCAGTACTTAAAGGGGGCTTATAAAAAAAGATGTGACAAATGTTTTAGCAGGGCCTGTAGCAACAGGACAAGGGGTAATGGCTTTCAACAAAAAGAGAACAGATTCAGACTTGATATAAAGGAAGAACTTTTTTACCATGAGGGTGGTGAAACACTGGCACAGGTTGCCCAGAGAGGTGGTAGATGCCCCATCCCTGGAAACATTCAAGGCCAGGTTGGACAGGGCTCTGAGCAACCTGATCCAGCTGAAGATGTCCCTGCTCACTGCAGGGGATTTCGGCTAGATGGCCTTCAAAAGGTCTCTTTCAACCCAAACTATTCTATGATTCTACTAAAAACTGAAGACTTAAAATAATTCTGCAAAGTTCAGAGACTAAAAAGCTTGGTAAATATTCAAGAGTGAATTCTTTTAAAATAATTTTTTATCACAAGGTAATTTTAACGTACTTTATAACTGTAGCTTTATAGCTAGACTACTTATTCAGAGGCATACTTCTATTTAGTAGCATACATCTACTGTTTCAGTTTCACCAAAGATATTATTAGTTACTGCTTAAGGACAACAGACTGATTAGTCGTGCAATTTTTGAAGCCATATGCCAATATTAATTAAAGAAGCGAAAACCCAAAATGTCAGTTAAACCTAGCATTTTTTTTGTTACGAAGTTCAAAAGCAATACTTTTTCATGTAGGAATTAAGACTAAGATTCTGAGATTGAGGGAGGTGACTGTAGAAGGACAAGCACAACAAATACATCAGACAACAACTGAAGAGAAAAGGCAGCCTAAATGTTACAACTGTAGAAACCAGGGCTGCTAAAGGAGGATGCAAATGGATCTACAGCTTTGGCAAATCTCTTAAGCCGTGAAACCAAGATTTGGACAGATAACTTTCAAACAGGAATAAGATGGTAAGTGTTCTTTCCTTTCAGGAAGTATTTCTAATTTCATTATATCTTCAGGAAGTATTGTTTTCTTCTAAGTGCAGGATTAGCAATCTTTCTATACCAATTTTACAATAAAAGCCTCAAGCAATGCCATAAAACCTTACCAATGCAGAAAGCACAACATTACAAGTCTGTGACCATAAAAGATGATCCTTTTTGGAATATCCATTGTGCTTGTTTCTTCCTTTAATACCCATTCTAAAACAATTAACTCATCTTTGACTTTGTGGGGCTCACATTGTTTTTAAGTTACATCTGCAATACTTGCATTATCTCCAGTATGCTATGATTACACTTCAACACAAATATTGTCTTTTTAAATTCTAACACTTATCAAGCAGGCAGAAAAATCTTTGAAAGAAGTTACTCTACAACTGTTAATCCCCACAACTGCTACAAATATCAAAAGGCAAAGTTATCTTAATTATTCAAATTGTGCTAATACTTTAAAGTACATCTTTTAAAAAGTCAAATAACCCTTTTTTTTTTAAACAAAACTGAAAAGATAAAGTATATAAACATTTGCTAGGTTTGCATTTGAACAGAAGAAATAAGCACTACTTCATAGTGACACAGAAGTTTTTGGTTTGTGTTTTTTAAACACTAATAGGTTTGTATCTCTTATTCTGTAAAGTAAATCAGCGTCATTTACCTTAAAAGTTGACTCAGGTTCTTGCGGTTCTGGACTTGATGGAACTGAGAGTGGGATGTCCTGGAGCGACACATTTTCATCATTCTATCAGAGATCAAAAACAAGAACAAAAGCTTGAACTACTGTCTGAAACAGCTCCCTTGCCAACTTGCTTTCAGGGACGGAGATGTATCACCTCTCTGCAGAACCTGTTACAATGTCTGACCTCTCACCGTGAATCTTCTTTTTTCTCGCCTGACAGAAAAGCTCCCGTGCTGCAGCATCTGTACAGTGCCCAAACAAGGGCCATGAACAGCCTCCCTCTCCTCACAAAGCTGTAGGAACAGCTGCAGCTATGTCCAAGTGTGTTGATTTCGCACAAAAATTCAGTAAAAAATGGCCATTTTATTCAAATCAGGAAGGAATGGCGATGCTATGCAATTCTAAAAGCTTCATTTCCTTCAGTGTCCATTCAAATAATATGTCTGAGCAATACAAAAATATACAGCCAAAATATTTCAGCTAGGAATTCTTAACTAAAAAAATAAACATTTGCTAGTTACTGAACAGACTAATACAAAATTAGTTCACAGCCATCAGAACTAAGTATCAATTATAAAAACTGGAACCGCACAGAAGTATCCTTTCCCCCACCGTGACAGCCATGAATTCTGAAACTAAGCACAGCAAGTAGAAACAGAAGTAACGAAAGACACCAAAAGATGATTGCCTAGATACATCCTGAAGCAGTTACACTCTCCTGACAGAAACACATGCAGTCATTATGCACAGTACCCTAAACTTCAGCCCTGAAGAGGTTCAGTTCGGTTACAGAGCCAAGCCACAGACTGACCAACTGGCAGCGTATTCTCGCGGTATGTTCTCAGGTTTGTACTGTGATGTTGTGTCCGGTCTTAGTGTGACACAAAACTCCAGCACAATTACAGTACAGTTATTTTATGGTCATGGAAGATCGTAACTCCCATTCCCCTGATGTAAAAAGATTCCTCCCCACCCACTTCTGTTCACCTCCTCCATCTGCCACTGAAAAAAAAAAAAAAAAAAAGAATCTTCTACCTTACAGTGCTCTCCTTTGTTTTTTTAGGGTTCTTGGAGGGGAGTTTCTTCAGCCAATGACTCCACTGCCTAAGAATACATTTGTAGAATATAAGAGCAATACATCTCAAAACCTGTCTAAAACCACTCTGAGGCTAAGCCAGCAATGCTCCAAAATCCCAAGAGTAAAACTGCAACTCAAATGCTAAAGACCAGTTAAGGGAAAACCCCACAATAGACCTACTTCTGTTTTTTATGTCTGCGAGGTACCTTTTTTCTTTTTAATCCATTAGAAATATTTCCTCTAAATTTTTAACTCAACTGCAGAGAAACATGAAGGAGATTGTCCAGATGCAAACAATTAAAATTCATGAACTTCTAACAACTAAATTTTTACTTTTTCCTATAGTCATCAACTACTTGCAGCCAAAATATGCACAACCATCACCAGACTTAAAAGACAAAACTATTAAGAATTATCATGCAATTCCAAATTGCCTTTACCATACTACGGACAGTTTAATTTCATTTCCATCACTTGGATGCAATTTCATATCTTGCAGTTTTTTGGTCTTGTTTTGTTGTTTGTTTTTTAACTTCCTTGCCTTTTTTTTTTTTAATTGTGCGAGCAGTCACATTTCACAGCTTCTGACTCCTTAACATAGAAACTACTTCAGCTTACACTGTCCAACACAGTTGAATTCAATTCACCAGTAGCTGCTCGTCCCTTCTGGGCAGATCGCCAGCAAGCGACAGGCTGATGAAGAAGCAGTAGTTCACAGTCTATGTTATGAACAAGTTCCAACAGAGTGTTTTGAAATAATTTGCACAACAATATAATAAAGAAACAAACATCATTTAATCTAAAACATTCCTAAACTGCTCGAGGAAATGAGCAGCAATTAGAATCATAGAATCATTTGCAGATGAACAGATTATATTTTATGTATTTTATATTTATCTTGTATTCTGTAGTTCATAGATTTCATCAACATTTGTTATTTTAAACAACTACCCAAGAAAATAAACTTACTCAGAAGAAAAGTTACATCAGACAGTTACAGTTATAATTGTGAAGGAGTAATCACAGGAATGGAAAAACCACAAAACAGGACAAACCATTTCCAGCAAAAGCATCTTGCATGGCTTTTCAAAGCTCTATCACTGACACCTCGGGTATTTCCCATTAAAATACATCTAAGCAGAGCGACAAAGCATTCTACAACAGCAGATTAAGACCTAATTGCAAAGGAAGTTAGTATGTCACATATTCTCTGGCGATTTAAATCAAGTACTCGAGCCCTATGCTACACCTGATTAATATTCACTAGCAAAGCAAGAGCTAAGTTCATTTGCATCAATTCCCTTACCATTGTCTTAATTATCTTAATATATACAACAAACACAGGGCAATTGAAAAAAATCAGTTTTAACATCATTGTATTGCTAAAAATGAAACTGAGGAAGGGGGAAACCATCAGAATAAGGCTATCCATGTACAAAAAAAAGAGATCAGGATTTGCAAAAAGACAATAGAATTAGCATAACAAATGCAGCTGGTTATATGCATGTGCTACTTTCGGTAGCCTAGAAATTCTATGCCAAGATATGATCAAACGTTGGAAACTTGGACAGAACATACCCTTTTAACCTTTAGGTAAAGTTACAATAAACTTTATAATGTTATCATCACATTGTAATAGGCAATATAAAAAGCTGCTACCTCTTGGTTTTTACCTGACTAACGTTTTAATAACAGTAGAATACATTACTTATTATAGTATAGTCACATCTTCAGAGCAGTTACACTAGCCTCATTTGTGCCAAATGTAAATGATGCTTGCACAAGCAAGAACTCAGGATAGTTTGTTAACCATATCAAAAACAAATGATTCTCATATGCTTTGAAAAAACAAGTTCTACTTATAAATACAAGTAACAAAAAACCCCCACATTTTCAAAAGCTATCTTCTGCTAAGGAAATTAGATTAAAAACAGCAGTATTAGAAGGAAAAAATAGTTGTTAATATTTCTAACTATTTCCTAAATTTAAAACATTGCAACAAACACCTCAAACCTCATATTCCAGCAATCCTGGCAAAGTTATCCACACAAATTCCCTTCAAACACTTTTAGAATACTCAAAGACTAAAAGATTGCTCTGAAAAACACTTAACTTCTTAAAGACAAGTGTGAAGGGATATAATTCACCACCTCTCTAACAACTTTTTAGTATTTATCAGCGTAATGCCTACACAGCAAATCCAGGAATGGCTAAAGCATTACAACCCTGACGATCAAACTAGCATGATTTCCTCTGAACATTATTTCAGCTTCATATTCTTTTGCCAAGGGTATCTGCTGAGAAAATTAATACCATCTTAGTTTTTTACAAACCAGTTGATTCTATTTTTTGAAGACAAACTCAGTGAGAGTTACAGATACAATTTTTAAGTGTACATGTAAGTAACATATGTAACAACCCTTTCTCCCCTGAGTGTTAACACTGTCATGCACCAGATTTCTCTGGACAACTAATTTTCTACATGTGAAATATTTTGATATACCCACTCCCAAATGTTACAGTCTAACTGAAGCACTTGATTATACTCTCAAGCCTGCATCTGTCATTTTTAATCCACCTGAAGAACGTGAGCTAAAGGTTATAGGAATAATCCTCCAGTAGGGCTGTCACAGGTACACCACAACTCACCCACAGAGCCACAAACCGTAACCTGTATTTTTGAGTAGCTGTACTTAACATGCTCTTTTGCCAGTAATTTACAAGTGTGAAATCTTCAGTACAAATGACACACAAATCCCCATGCTTGCCTCGTCTTGCGGATTCCCGAAGAACTGACTGACTGCTTTTGGTAAACAGAATACTAAACATCAATTTCATTTAGTGTCAGATTATTATTTGTGAAGTGTAGCAGATACAAGTATTTAGTCAAGAATAGCTTAATAAAAAACCTCACTACCTTTCTAAACTACTGTAGTGATTATACACAGGAGCAATTTACCTACTACAGACTGCAGTATTTTTGCTGATAAGCTGTTCAGCAACTCAAAAATGCCACATTGGCTTGTTTTTTCTCCTATCCTCTCAGCAGTTACACGCTCACATTTTATGTGCTTCTATTTTAAAAAGAAAAAAATACAACCAAAAGAAAAGTCAAGCTCCGTGACTAAATACACCATAATAGCCCCCAGAACACATTTCAACATTATAAACATGCGCCTTCTATACAGCATACAGACGGTGCAGCTGTTATCACTGCCTATCCCTTTTCCCCTGCTTTCTTTGGGTGATGTTACTTGCAGGCTTTAGTTAATAGCACATGTAAAACAAAGAAAAACTGTAGAAGTTCTAGAAGAACAGAAGAGACGAGATAAAGGGCATTCTCTCTCAGAAGACATCGCCCATATTGCCTCAGAGGAAGATAACAAAGCTCAAAGCTTTAAGACAACAGTTCTTTTCATTATACTAACGTATTTTAAATCCTTCTATTACAAAAATCGACTCATTAGAAGAAAATTCATTTTGAGCAATTATCTTGTGGTTTCCTAACAGCATAAGCTGCCTTTTATTTTAAAAGAATATACTACTAATAGTATACTAATAATATAATCTTGAGAATTCTTTCATTCCAGCATCTACAGTTCATGAAGAAGCTGAAGAATGCTAAACAAACATTTCTAAATTTTATCAAGGTTTCTTAAGTTTTATCAATGTTTAGCCTTTCATTCCCATTTCAAAGTTTTCTTTGGTACAAATTACTCATTTGAAGAATCTCCTTTGCTAACAGCAGTTTCATAAAGATGCAAACAGAAAACTAAAGAGTCCATCAAGTAGAGGGTGCTATTCAACTGCTGACTACCTGGCACTGAGGGTAGTTTCATTCAAATATCGCTACAAATGAGTGTCATACAGTTTCCATTGCCCGCTGTCACGCACTGTAATAAGGACAGTTCAACAGCTAACCGTTTCAACTTAAAATTTGACAATTTTATTTGCTATTGTTCATTGATTTCTTTGGTTCTGTTTCTTTCAAGCACAGTCAAGTCACTAGGGTGAACTATTTTGTGGCTAAAAAAGGTGACAACTGTAGTTGCAATTTACACAACTTAATACACGACAGAAAGAAACCTTTGCATTTCATTAATTAAATCTGTTTCTTCCTTGTCTTCAGGCTTCTTATAACAAAGATAAATTTCTGATACATGTCACCAGATGCAAAAAGAAAAGAACACAATGAGTATGCGCTTCAAAGGTATGCAAGTGACTTACTAATCTAAAGCCTCAGCAAAAATATATCTGTGCATTTAACAATTTTGCACTAAAGACTTCGTTTTTTCCATTCATCCCTCTTCATACAAATGAGCTAGTCACATCCGATACGTTACAAGGAAGAAGTGTGCTTGAAAAACAGAACTTCTTTTCCATTCATGAAAGGTTAAGTTGAAAATAAACATTTTTTATAAAACTTGCTTCCCACAGAAAAAAGGGCTTCATAGATCTCAGTTCCATGAGCCGCTTCATGTTTCAGTCCTCCTTAAAATATCAGTCAGTGCTTATCTGAGATAAGACAGGGTGGTTGCGAATCATAGCTGCCAGTCTTGAGAGGAAGTTACTACACAGATGGTCAATCCTTGCCTAGATCAAAGGTTCCAAGGCATCACACATAGTACAACTCTTACTTAAATAAGGATTTTCTAACACATTAGCTCTGTAGTCTCCACCTAGAGTCATAAGTTTAAGAAATTGAGAAGAAGAGAATGAAGAAGTTTTTAAGGTCAGAAGAAAACTTATTTACTATTAAGCATCCAAATTACACTTAGTACAGTGAAAAATTAAAAAAAACTCTCCATGAGATAGACTCCTATTTCCTATTTCACTCTTTGAAGATTCAGAAAGATAGCAGTATGTGAAGAGCAAGCAGAGAGCAGGTGTACTGCTGCCACTGTTATCCTGGTCACCTGGAGCTGAGGAAAGGCTAGACTGCTCAAAGAGCTACTTATTTTTCCAAGCAGAACTGGGAACACAATACCAAACCCACGCTGTTGCAGTTATGTTGTTACGAATATTCAAGATAATTTATACACGGTTATGTGAGCTACAGTCACAGCAACGAATCCAGTACAGCACATTAAGTCTCCCTAGGAATCTGCTAGGTATACATTCATTACCTGCTATGCTCTACAGTAAGCCATGCTACAGCTGATTAGATAATTGTATAAAATTGAATTTAATTACTACATCTTACTATAACTGCTCCTGCGAGACCTCGTGTCTAGGACCTGACTACAGCTCTGTTCCTACCTATCCAAATTAAATGATATTGCTAAAAGTCATTACTAGAAAAAGGTAGCACTTATACATTTAAATGCATAATACGAGAAAGGCAAATAAAAGAATTTCTGCTTCCTTAACTAACGCTAGTGTTTTCAAGGAACTGATATTGTACCTCACTTTTTCACACTTTGTAAGAAGAGGCCTGTCGTATGACCCGGACTGAGACGAAGTCCTAGTTCAGTGTTCAGACTGCTAAAGTTCATGTAATTGTTTTCAAAAATATATTTCTGTTCTTTACAGTAAGTAAAAAAGAATTGCATTATTTTTACCCATTTCTCTTAGTATAAAGCTCAGTATCTTCAGGAATGGTTTAACAATTAAAAATTATGAAAAAACATTTCATACAAGTTTTACTCCAGTTGTTTAGTAAATAAAGGTAGCAAAGGTCTCAAGTTTTCCCCTCTGTAGTAGGTTGATTTACTTTTAGATTACTGTTCATGTTGTTTGATTAAAAGGCTGGATAATACACCGGACGGTAGAATAAACATTCAGAAGTCCAGCCATGAGTTTCAGAAGCAGCGAGTCAAAACAGTAGGTGGTTAGGTCAGGAAAATATAGAGTGGCATGCTTGACAGAGTTTGACAGGAAGAATAATACTTGTGTCATGGGTTTGCATGGCAAGGTTTTGGTAGCGGGGGGGCTACAGGGGCAGCTTCTGTGAGAAGCTGCGAGAAGCTTCCCCCATGTCTGATAAAGCCAGTGCCAGCCAGCTCTAGGACGGACCCACCACTGGCCAAGGCCAAGCCAGT